GCGCTGCGCTTACGCCGCTTCGCGGCGACAGTCTGCGGCGGCTCATTACAAAAATGTGAACCCAGTTGGCCCACCCGAAAACGCCGCTTCGCGGCGTCCGACTATTCGCTAAAGTGTCATTCGGTGAAACGTGGGCGTTCGCTAAAACGTCATTCGATCGAGTGAGTGCCTCCCCTGCCCAGCATAGGCCTTTGGGGAGGATCATCAACGCTCGCTTCAGTTGCTCGGCATCTCGGTAGAACAAGAAAGGGTCGGCTATGGCGGCTCAATCTGGCGCGTGTTTAAAGCGTCAATTCTCCATCTGACAAATCTCATGCAATAAAGACAAAGGTACATGCGCGTGAGCCCAACTCAACAGCATGATTTTGTTTGTACGAGAACTCGTGCATACGAGGCACTTTCTAAAGTCACGCGCTCGTGCCCATGCCATTGTATGCACTGCAGATGATAGTCAGATGGAGCATGTGGCTTTCTATCTTGTTCGCTTAGCACTCAAGCCGTCCACAGCACTGAAGAGCGCTTGAGATTACCTCGCACCACAACAGAGTGCATGCCAGGCACATGCGCGTGCCATCCTCTCGTCATCTCGATGACCAGGAAGATCGGAAGAACCTCTGCGAGTGTAAGCAGCAGCAGAGAGACCCGCAGACACAGGTGGCCAGGAGCGTGGGGCACACATGTCGTCGCGCGTGGGAGCCCGCAGCAGCACGAGGCCGCAGGCGCGCACCGACGGGCCGTCGACAAGGAAGAGTATGGAGGCGGCCGTCGAGCGTCAACTGTCAACTTTAATCACTGTTTGGTGTATACACGGTTAGTTCGTTTATGTGGCCAAGCACCTATACACAGAGCTGCGAGACAGAGAACTATTGTACACTAGGTGTGGAGCAAGCGAGGTTCCCGGCCACGTGGCTCGCGGTAGACCGCCGTCGTCCGCCAGGGAGAGTGGCAGAGTCGGTGCTTTGGAGAGCTCCACGCCAGCTAGCTGCGAACCTACGAGAGAGCTCTACGGAAACACGAGAGGTGCAAAGAGAGAGAGGAAGACCCGGGGAAGGGCGCACGAAAGAAACTATCACACACCGCTAATGTTACTCGTTGTATCGACCTTTTGTGTGTTCGAGGACGTGGTGTTCCTGCGGTTAACACGTGAGAGACGTAAAGAAGTGGAACCTGTGCAGGGGAGGGCCAGGGGACGTGCAGCGGTCGCGAGCCTTCGAGCTAGGCGTCTTCCCCCGGAGAAGCGGCGGTTTCCCTTACACAACTTCCGTGGGCCAGGTGCCGAGGGGGCCCAGGGCCGGAGACCCGAGGCCGCCTCGGCAGCGGCGTCCACGACATGCACATCACGACGACCACTACATAAGCGGGGGGCTCGCACGAGCCCCCCAAGCCTAAGGGACTGCCTCCACTACGACACAGCGCGACGAGAAACGCGGAATTCGTTGTTTGAGCCGACACCATCCCACCCGCCCGCCCACCCGAAGACGCCGCGGGGACGCAGGGGCAGCGCCCGCTCCGGCTCGACCCGTCTTCTTCCCTCCCCGAGGCACTCGCAAGCACGCCGACCGGAAGGGCTCCGGGCCTCGCTGGCGGACTCCACGCGGTCCTCTCGTCGGAGCTGTGGCGCGCTACGCTACCAGCTACACACCTTGCATCCGTCTAGACACGCTGGCACTCGCGGCGCCTTGCGCACACCGACCTCACTCGGTGCCATCTCAGGCCTTTCTCCTCTCCGAATCGCGGCACAAAGTTGCCCTCTCCTGGGTCAGCTTCGAGAGTGCGCAACCTGCGCCGAAGGAAATTTGGGACCTTCGGTGGAAATACGCTCGGCTACGGGACGACGGCTCGTCGTGCCAGCAGCGATCGCACAAAATGGGCTGCCCGACGTGTCCTTACGCCCACTCCTGCCCAATTCGACTGGGAACCGTTGGAAAGAGCCGAGTGTTGTTGCCTGTCTGACGTGCCTTACACAGACGCCCTCAACGTCATAAAGTGCGGCTACTTGCTTCGTTATTCGCTCGCTTTGCTTGAACATCAATCTACTTGACTGCCACAGTGAAGTTGCGATCACTATCCTGTTTTCAGCTTCTTCTTTTTTTTTTTAACACTAACGCCTAATTTATATATATATATATATACTCTAGGGTGTTTCACGAAAGGCGGGCCAAATTGTTCCTGAGAAAAGTACGCTTCGTACAGGAAGAAGGTGTATGTCGTAGTGGCCTCTGTCAAAGGGCCCATCCAGAATATTGATGGCGTTCGGTTAATCAGCTTATAAATTACTTTTCAGCCATTAACTTTTTCATTTGAAAATTTTAAGTCATGGTTTCAATTAGAAACTTCCTCGAGGTCATCGAAAACAACCAAGCACGTGCTGCATTTTACGGTGAAAAAAAAAATATATATATATATATATGGGACGCGTTGGTAGGTTTCGGTTTCCGCTCGGTGTAGAGTGCCTTCATACACACGCGCGCTTTTGCTTGAGTGGTGACATCTCAGCCATTTTTCCGCCCAATCGTTTTTTTATGCATTATGAAGTGCGCGCAATCCGGTGTCACTCAGCTCGAGCGCGTAGCTTTGGCTGATGCATAGACGCCATCTTGCCGCCCAAGTCACGCACCGAGTGCGCGAGAGCGTCACGCGCTGGCACATTCCGGACAACAATGGATGTCTTCACCCTGAGACAGACAGACATCTAGGCACCCTAGCTCGGTGCACACCTGCGCGCCAGTGGTCCTGCCCCACCGTGGCCAAAGCGCGCTAGCACCGCCTCGCCTCCCTCGTAAGAGAGAAAAAAAGTGACCTGAGCCGGCGAAATAAAACGATGTGCTGTTCGAATAAAGCCTGGTTCACACAGATGCGTTGGTGACGTTCTGAGCGACCGAATCGGCGGCATCAACGACTGTGGCCGGCAGAAGTGTTCGCCGTACGCAACGTGCCAAGCAATGTAAAAAGTAGTTTTGTGAAGCAATCACGAGTTGCGGTTGTCCCGGTGTTCTGGTCGTTGCTGTCGTTTTGGTTTCTGTGGAAGCAACCGACACAAATGTGTAAACCAGCCTTAACATTGCAAGAATAAACTTCGATTCTCGTGTTCACCTCCGTCCCGCGAAGAAAGCGCGGCGGTGCGCGCTATTTGCGCGCCTTGGCCACGGGGAACCAGGACTGCTGGAGCGGATATGCGTTTTGGTAGGAAACCGAGACTTCAAAACGAGTCCAAATTTAGTGCTTTTTCTGAGCGGCCTAAATTACTGTGGATAGCTTAAAGCTTTATAATGTGAATTGATTCTGTAGTTTTTCATGATACCCAGAGAGTTTTTAATTAAATTCATATTTTTAAATCTTGTAAGTAAAAAGTGAATTGCTGAAAAGTAATTGATAACTGATTTATACAGAATGCTATTAATTTGCTCTAAATTGGCCCTTTGACAGAAACCAAAACGTCACCTTTTTTTTTTCTTCCGTGCGATGCGTATTTTTTGTAAGAATGATTTGGCTCGCGTTTCGTAAAACACCCTATATGGTATAGATAGTTATTGACCCTGAGAGCTTCAGTTACCGTGGTTGTAACCTGGCTACTGCGTTAGATGTCCAAATAGCTTCCTTCGATTGTTTGCTCTAAGTGAACAACAACGTGCAATCGTACATACACTACACCAACTCGATTAAGGCGACCTCACGAAACAGGCCCTAGCCATCTAGCTTTAGTATTTCGTAAAAGCTACCACTCGACGGTGGAGTGTTCCAGCATTAGTTTTACTCTTACAATATCGTTACATCGGAACAATCCCAACTCGAATTTCGCTAACGGAAAGAGGTAAATCTTGCAGAAAGAGCTTACTGTGGAGGTGTGGAGGTGAGAAAGGAGGAAAAAAAAAAAAAAGTCCAGCTAACGCCTTTTTCTTGTTTGTTTATTGAGCAGGACAGCGAGAAGGAGAGGGGGTAGACATTTGTCAGAGAACGCGGTGGACAGAAGTCGTGCGATCGCTGGTGGAAGTTGCGAGATACACGGGGATGCATCCAGGGGATCCAGTCACGGTACACTCTTCTAAAGCTCTGCGCTTTTTTTTTCGTTTGAGATTTTTGTTTGTTATTTTGAAAATAGCTAGAGGCACTTGCACACGCACGAGGAAGTGTTGGTTGGTGTCATTCAAAAAAGAAAAGCAAAAAATAAATAAATAAAAAAAGAATTAGAAAAAAAAAAACACGCACATTAAGAAAAAAAATTTAAAACGATGCTGCATATCCCGTTAACTTTAGAAGCCGACCTGCAAACGACATTTGGAAGTGTTCGCTTTTGCGTAGTAATGTGGGCTACCTGTTTCGACGCTTACACGTTTATTTTTGCTGCGCTCGAATTTGAATGCCACGTTTCTTATTTTTTGTTGAGTCAATTATTATAGTTACGGGATGCGAGGGGGGTGAATGGAAAGAAGAAAGACGGCCGGATCGAGCCGTATGGCCGCGCGTTGCTGCAGCTTTTCAATTGCGGATCGAAATCTTTGCTGCGTGACTTGTAAGAGGCAACAAAAAAGTATGCGGTTTACGTAGCTTTACAAATGGTCTATTGGGACGGGCGCGGGAAATCAAGGGATTTATTGCTGCCGTACAGAGTCACAGAAAGAAATATTAAGCGATGCTATATGCGCCAAGAGTCGTGTCAACCGTCGCCCGAGGTCGGTGTCTGCTCTAAGTTAAGCTGAGGCAAGTAATATTTGCCCCCAAAAATGGGCACGGTATTTTTTTTTTTGTATTTTTTTTTTATTTATTATGTCGGAAAACGGGCGGGTGGGTGGGAAGGGTTGAAGGGCAGGGCTTGCGAATGCCTCGGGGTTGCATCACAGGAACGCCATTCAGTCAAGAAACGTTTTTTTTTCTTTTCACCCTAAAGAGTTGAAAGGAGACCACAGACATTTGCCAGCTAGGACGAAGAACAAGAAAAGAAAAGCTTGGTACAAATTTCAAGAAACAATCCTCCAGCTTTGACATCTTTTTTTTTTTTTTCTTTTCTTTTCGAATGAGATTTTTTGGTTTATGCTTTGACAAGGCCACCCGCGACTACCAGTTGTACGCGTATCGATTAGTAATCACCGTTTCACAATCGTTGCACGAGGTACCAAAATTTCCTCGATATTGATGGCTTATAAATATTTTTACTTTTTTTTTTTTGCAACTGCTAAACAAACTGCAAACAGTGCTCACAAACTTAGCTTGCCAAACAGTTTTCAATCGCACCAGCAAAGATGTTGGAAAGAAAACAAGAAACCAAATATGTACGGCACGAGAAACAGTTTGGTTTGGAGCAAATGTTCCATCAAAACAGTAACAAGCCCACTTCCTTGTTTTTTGTCCCAGAAAGCACACCCAGCCTGTTGCGAACCAACCAAGCGCGACCCTGAAAGCTTTCCCTGCCGTTTTGGTCTTGGCAGCCATTGTCCCTCCCAATTGAGCAACGGACTGGCAGCCAGCAATTTTGCCAGGGCGCCGCCAGTCGGGGCCGTTCCTGCGCGGGGGCCGACGGGAGGCGCACTCGAGTGTCGAGCCCCGAGCGGCGCCGCTACCCTGGCGTCGTTCAATCCAGCGAAACGACATGCGGTGGCCTTTCGCAGCCGACGCGGCAGGACCCCACAGCAAGACGGGTGCCCCGCAGAGGGGACACTTCGTGGCGCGCTCCGCTGCTTCTTGAGCGGCCGCACTTTTATTCCTCACGAAACAGCAGTGGGAGCAGCAACAACGGCCCCTGGTAGGACCAATCGTCGGGGGCTCTGGGGGCAGCGCGGGCATCCCGGCACCTCTGGCGGCACCGTGCTGAGCAATCCCTTCTTTCGCGACGGCGCCAGTGAGGTAAGCGCTTGGCGTTTTGCGGATGAGCGCTGTTTCGGCCGACGGGGACGAGTGTGTGAGGCCCCACGGCCCCCAGAGCCCCCGAAGCAGCGAGAACAGCGCCGAGGAAGAGACAAGTTCCGTCTTTGGACGCTCTCGCAAGTCGGCTACATGACTCGAAAAATAGAGTATACTAGAGCAATATGGGTCTGCGAGGCACGCTTAAACGGCAGTCAGTTCGCGGAAGTGTCGGTCTTGCAGAGTTTCGGCCGTGGGGCCGAGCAGCGGCCGGGGAGAGGCCCCGGAGAGCGTTTCGCGGCCCCAATGTCAGCTTTGCGTCGGGTCTTGTGGTTGTCGTCTTTCCTGCGGAGGCGGCGCAGCTCTACGCCGTGCTTGCATAGCTGGACCCTCACTGCAGGACGCACTTGCCTTCGATGCTCGATTTCAACTCGTTCACTTGGGTCTCGATGGTGTTCCTCAACCCTGCGCCAGAGCAAAAGCCGCACACAGGCACACCGCGGCACGCCCCCTGTTAGTCGCCGTGCGCTGTAGGGACGCTCACCGTCGCGAACGACGTCCAACACCACGTGTCGTCGAACCATGTCAAAGCGAATGGCGGAGGCCCTTCGAAAGGTGCGAGAACCAAGAAGAGTTCCACGAAGCAAGGCCAATTATCGGCACGATACCATGTAATATGCGCGAGCGTAGCGAGCAAGTAGCCGCTTTATTGTTGTCTGTAAAAATGCTCCAAGTTATCAGATTAATTTAGACAAACTGCCGATTAAACTACGATAATGGTCGATTATCCTTGCTGATGCGCGTCTCGAGGGACATGATATATCTGCGAGGGCAGCGAGCGCTCGCAGGCTATACCAGTGGCAGCGGCTTATTTGTCGAATTCGTTTCCAAAAAATGTGTGCAAAAGTAGACACATTCGCTGAGATACCATTCGATGAGACACTGGTTGGACGAAACGACCGCCTACGATGAAAGGGCACTCGCTATGATGACACGGACTGAGCAGTATTTGTGGACAAGCATGGTGTTCGGGGAAAGAGCATCGCAAGTGAGTGCCTGCCGGATGCAGGACCCGCCCGGAGGCAGGGGGCAGAGCGAGCTGCCCTTCAACTGCCAAACCAGAGCGCGTCCCGTGACTGCAACGTGACGTCCGAAAGGATCCATGTGTCAAGTGGCGCAGTAAACCTGCCAGGAGCCGTGCAAATAGCACGGTCTTCTTACTTTCACTCAATCGTTTCAGTACCACTGCAAACATGAGAGCGTCAGGCACCAGAAAGCGAGTGTCGTGAATTACGTTAAAAGCCGGATATTGCACGTCGCTCTCACTACAGTACAGCTACTTGGACTATCGCAGCTCACTCGGTTCCCTTCTGGGTTAATCTGGTCGCGCACTTTGAAAGGAGCAAACAATGCGTAAGGATAGAACTCTCCACATCCTGTTGATTGTTCACATTTGTTCACGTTTCACTGCTCTGCTTTCAACTATCCTTCGAGAGTATCGCAACTCTGGTGATCACTGAAACATTAATAAATACAATTTAGGGAGCGTCAAATAATTGAGAACCTTCGGCTTTCTAAAGGAGAATGAATTACGGGACAAACGCGAACACTCTCGGTGTTAGTGAACTGCATGTATGCGAGCTGGTTCTAGACTAGTACAGACATAGGAGTGCTTTTACTTTTACACTCAGAACAATTTAATGTCATCGCCTTTATCTAGAATGCAGATATCTGTCAATAATTTTGGAAATGAAAACTTATTTGTTTTCAATAACTATGCTGAGTTCAAAAGACAATCGCTTAATATGCTATTTTATTCTTAGTTATGTATATTAGTTGCTCGAATGGATTTCTGTTCTTCATATGAATTCATGGTTGTATATTTTGACATGTGGAATTTGTGAATAATTATTTTCTTAACTTTTACATGCCAGTGCCGCATTGCAGACTTCTGGTCGGTTATAGGCACAATAAAGAGACATGATGATGATGATGATGATGACGACATGACCCAAAACCGTGACTAATGCCAACCGTCGTTAACTGAGGCGACTCAAAGCCACTGGCGTATGCTTTAAACCGCCTCAAAGGCCATCTTTCGGTTCCTGTACATGAACCGAAAAGCGAGCGGCCCAGAGGGCAGAGACGAGGGCGGGCACGGGCAGGGGACTCGACTGCGGGGCGCGAGACTCACTTGTGAGGTCGTCCTGTTCTGCTGCCTCGTTTTCCGCGGCGATCTCTTCGGGTGTCTTTTTTCGCCGATTGAGACTGCCAGCGGCAAAATCATCCACTTCAGCAGGCTTCTCCTCCTCTTTCTTCTTAATACCGTACTGTACAGGAAGGGAGAGAAGGGGAGGGGCATACATTGAAGGCAACCACCTTACCCTGCACGCTTAGTGAGCTAACCACTGCCCAGGTCGCTTGCATACAAACGCATTGAATTGTCGCGCAAGCTAGGAGGCACTTTATCCTGTTCGGATATAATAAATTAGCTTTATTTTCTTGTACAATATGTGAAACTCTGGTGCGCACGTTACGATGCCTGACTGAGTGTGTTTGTAATTGAATCGGTGTTTCAATCGGATTATTTGAATATTTTAACATGTTTCGTCGGGGGCTAAAGGCTATTTCGAAATTAAACATTTTATTGTTAAATTGTTTCTGGATTAAAAAAAAGAATACAAGGACAAAAACTATTAACTCGTTAAAACGCAACATTTTGAAATATAAACAAATTTTATGGAGTTTGTGCTGTTGCGCCAGATTTGATCCGTAGCTTTATTGAAACGGGGGCAATATGCCTGTCTAAATGGCTACCGATCTAAGCCTGGTTGCCAGCACTTGTAAGAAACGCGGAGCATTAATTGTACGAAGGGGCTCTGATCCTCTCCGTTCCGGTACGCCTTCTTCACGGAGTTGCCGTTGTGGCGGAAACAGCGGAACGGCGATCGCATCTAGACCGGCGCTGCTTGACACCGTGCTACCACTGCCTTTGCCACGAGAGAATGGAGCAGCCGTCTTGAGATATACTTTGGGAGTAGCACTCATTTGAGCCACAAATCGTACAGGATACCATGACCAAGAAGAACCGATGGAAATCAGAAATTATGGCGTGCTTAAAATTAGGTGCAACGATTTTTGGACCTTGGCCAACAATTAATTCCAGGAATTGGAAAAGCATTTCTTTTTCCATAAGCTCATTAAAAAAAAAGAAAAAAAAAAGATACAAAAAGGTCGGTGTACCGTGTACTTACTGTACACCGTATTTCGAGTGAGGTGTGCCGTGATGTCACCGGCAGTACTCGGTTAGGTTCTATCTTCAAGGTCCCCAGTCCTCCCTCTGCCATCGTTGACCTTTCCATGTTCGATTCGGCTCCAATAGAACACCACAGCCGCTTACTTAGCATCCTCGAAAATCCCGGCGAGCGATTGAGACAAGAGACGCGGTTCATCACGGGAAAGATGGGGAGGGAAGCGGCGGCGAGGGAATGGTTTTGGCGACTTACGAAGGGGAGTTGTGTATTCCCAATGACGTGACATCGTAGTTCCAATGACCGTCACACACGGCTGCGGATCGGGAAAATAAAAAAAAAAGCGTTTTTCCCTTTGCGATTACGCAGCGGAATCGCAGGCCTTGTCTTCTAGCTGGTATTGTTTCAAGGCGTAGCGCCTCGATCCTCCGATGGTGAAGTCAGTGGCCTACACGCCCCCGAGCGAGTACACGATTCCCTCTCCCCCACTTTCCTAACTATTCATTGCCAACAACAGCAACAACAACCTTCGATGGCGTTCGAGGGAGTCGGCGCAACGCCATCCTCGCGATGTAAAAAAAAAAAAATAATAATAATAAAAAAAATGAAGTTAGCGTAGCGTTTCTTTGTTTTTGTGGCGCAAGAAATGATAACGCATTTAAAACAATGAGCGAACGCGAGTGTCGCTGTCGTCGCGGTGTCCCAGCTCCTGCTTGCCGAAACTTCTCTGGACCGTCACAATCGAGAGCGACCTGCAGCAGAACAGGCGTCTGTCACATGTATGATATACTGCAGCTATTGGGACGCTGCCAGGGTTGCGGCCGGCGGCAACGTGGCACTCCTATGACCTCATCAGGCGCAAATCGAGGGATGAGTTTTTAGGACGCCGTCAACATATCAGGTCGGGGACGGGCTCCAGGCGTCATAGTTCCAAGGAGCAGCGATGCAGACGCCGCAGCAACGCACAGAGTCCACAGCCTCCCTCCGCGGTCTGGGCCCTAGAAACTAATCAGAGTTCACCGATGTAGACGGGAGGGGGAGGGCGGACGACCGCTGTCCGACGAGTCCGTCTTGGTACGCGGGGCACGGCCTCGGGATCGTCCCACCAGCGCGATCGAAACACGGCGCGCTCCGCCGCCAATCGGACTGTCCCAACGGAGAGGACAGGGAAACGGGGAAAAAGAAGGGAGCCGAGCTGGCTGCAGCCAAGTTTTGCCAGAGAGCGACCCAGAGACGCAGTGAAGCGCTTCGACCGCTTTCACACCTCGGCCCAGCCGCCGCAGTCTGCGCACGTTGTGTACATACACCCCGCAGCTGGGACGGATCCCGTGTCGCGAAATAGCGGCGTCCTTGTGTGACTGGACTTGGGACTCTGACTTTATTGCTTCCAACGCGACACCCAACGAGCGGTGGAGAGCGCCGGCGGAGAAACAGCGCCACTTTGGGAGTGCACCGCGCACGTATCCACAGACTCCAAAGCATACAAATAGGCTTCCTGATTCTCGTTGCTCCTACGGCCGACACAACTGCGGTTAGTTCATGAGATGTGCTGCAGTCGTTCCCAGCTGAAACATGACAGTGCGGGGAAAACTATACGGCGGCGTTGGCTTTGTAATATCTGGCCGATTGTTCCGAGGGCTGATGTTACGATCTTGTAGGCAGCTCCGTGATCATGAGACGATGGCGAAGTAGATCGCGATGTTAAATACAGCATAACATTTGACAGTACTGTTAAAAATCGAGTAAAGGCGTACATGCATTTTTTGTTATTTTTGTCGTTTTTTAGTGAATAAATCACCGTAAACAAAAAAAAAATATATATATATTTTTTTTAATATCGGGTTTTAGAAAGCTCAAAGCGGACGCGCCTCAGAAATAAAACGCGAAGAAAAGCACAGCAACGCAGATGCATCGCCAAGGAAGCCGTGGAGCCGGCGTGGGCGCCGCACCTGCACAGCGGGGGAGCGTGAGGTCACCGCCGGACTGTAATGCCTTTCGCATTCCTACACGTAAGCAGTCTGAAGTGTCTTCGGCGCGTTCTTTCTTTTTTCCTTCGTTTTTCTGTTTGTGCGAGGCAGATGGAAAATGCGCACGAAAAACTCACAGAAAAACGCCGCACAAAAAACGCAAAAGCACTTGGTGCTTGACGTTTGCGCGTTTTTCAAGCTTTTACCAATTCGTGTTCGTAAGACGAGCAATGTCTTCAACCAGGAGAAGGAGCGACGGCTCGGCGACGTTATCGTGCGAATCAGCTTGGTGGTCGGGTGTGTCGTACGGAATAAATCCTAATTGCTTTGATCGGTGAACGATTTCTCTTTTGGAGCTAGACAGATTCGCCTGTACCGCGAACAACAGTTCTGAACTTCTGAACAATAAATAGCCCGTCGTCCGCCGCTATCGCTTAGTCCGCTTCGTCCAGCCGTTCAGCCCGCGACTCCCGCGATACGAAGCCATGTTGAGATTTACGCAGAGAATGCAGAGAGGGCTTCCAATTCTCTGTGCAACTCTTTCTTTTTTTCTTTTTTTTCTTTTTTTTATCAACGCATTGACAATTTTTTAGAAGCCACAAAATGGGTGTCATTTTTTTTCTCTTTTTAATATTGAGCGTGTGCCTTCGATGACCCACGACTTCGATTATAATCGGTGTGTGTGTCTAAACCATAGAGAACGGCACGTGACCACGGAGAAGAGAGTGAGTGCCACTCAAACAGGCCAGTTCTCCATCGGCGGATAAAGAAAAGGAATTTCGAGCCGCAAATCGTGTTCTGGAAGTTAAGCTCTCACGTGTCATGCACACACACACACACACACAAAAAAAAAAAGTAGGCGAGTATTGTAGGTGTTATGACACGAAAATTAAGCGGATAGATTATTCTTGAAACGGAATGACTATAGGCTACTTAGTATATACACCAAGTTACGCGATTTTTAGAGCTCTGGTAATTGCAATAATCACTTTACGATTTTTATCATTTTCATCTGGCGACCAGGCAACACTGCCCAAGTTAGTCACACTATGGTGTCCATAAACCACGTGATCATGAACGCTCTCTCATTCTATGCGCCTCCATGATCGCCCAAGCTCTCCTCGCCGCAGCACGGTCAAAACAGCTCACGCAACTCGGTAATCCGAACGCTATTCTCGCTCTCGACCCCGGCCCGTTGAACTTCCACCCTGCATGCGCTTGCGAGATATTCCCGGACGACGGTGACCACGGCCAGTTCGTCCGTAACTCGCCGTCGCTGGAGGTGATCGCCAGCGGGTCGCAGTCAAAATGAACAGCTTCTAGCATCTCTCGATAGCAATCGCTTTGATCGCTGCTGCGATCAATGTAGAACACTTCGACAAGGCGAGCGAGGCCGTAGACGTAATCGTCACTGACCGCATGCTCGAAACGCGGAAGGTAAACGAGGAAGCTGAAGCTCCGGACGCCAAGAGAGCCAAGTCGGTGGGTGCGTGCAAGGAGACGCCGCGCGGGAGGCTGGCTACAGCCTCCCGCTCCACCCGGATCCGCTCCCCCGAAAGAACCCGCATATAAATCGATTTCTCCACGAAACTATCGCACCATTTTCAAAACAAACTTGGCAGGATTATAGGAACACACAGTGGGTCCTAGCAGTATTGTTATCTCATATTTTATTTTTGGCGTGTCACGACCTCTTTAAGCTAAACAAAGTAGAGCAATGAGGTGAGCCTTGGAACACGTTTTCTGTAAGATGAAACACTGCGACAGCTGAGGTGTGATGTCGGAGCCGGTAAGGTGTCATTTCAAAGCAGACGGACTGAAGCAACGGTAAAGATGCGAGCGCGCACCATAAAGTCCGCACAGGCATTTTTTTGAACTAATGACGGTGTATTAAGTACAGAGCATTTCGTGAATCTTTTAAACAATTTTATTGGACACAATCTAGGACTGCCTCGTGGTAGTTGAAGAACGCTTCGAAAATCTCGCGCCCAAGTTTTGAAATTCAGGGAACGACGAAACTGCATGTGTATGCATGAACCGTTCCCTGTCGTTGGTGTGGCTGCATGAACGTCTTATGCAGTGTCATTGGACACAAACTAACACAGCCTTGTG